AGATTAAAGATCAGGAGCCCGAAGGCAACGCATGGAGGAAAAGTTGGAAATAGCGAGGAAACTATAGCCGACGTGCGGCCATTGGCCAGATTACCGGCCGGGGGCGGTCCAGACCATGCGAGTAATAAATCTACGTCGCTGGTCTTCGACTGCTGAACAAAACTAACTAACGGGTGGCAGATACATCTTAGACTAGAACAAGGCTCGCATTACCAACCGTCGGCGATGAACCGATGGTCATCGCCCGCATACGGTCTCCCTCTCAAGAAGAAACCGCAAAAAAATCAAAAAGCATTCATTATAGTCTAATCACATGCGTCATTAGCATATTAAGTTTTATGTGGGAGTCGGCCAAAGTCTCCAAAAGCCAACAATGCGTGGTCCGCTTAAATAGCCCATAACCTACCAAGAGCCTTATTAGTGCAATGCCATACGCCGCAGAATCCGGTGACTGGATGAGTTAATTGCATGAAATGGATAGGGATTATCATTTGAATCAATCATCCGTGGTTCTGTGCAAAGCCTCCATTTTCAAGCAAAACAGTGCAAGACTTGTTACCCGAACTAAGCATGGAAAAGGAGGAATCCTACCACCGACTTCAATGGAAGTAGCGATGGCGTGTTATCCTGCCCAATGATGAACGAACAGATTCGACGCCGATGGACGATTTCTGTGTCCTCAAGGTAAACTGGGGCAGGAATGCCCTCAATGTTTGTCATGAGGATCTGCACCGGAAACGAAAAGACATGAACATCACATTCATAAGATCACGAAGCGTCTGAAAGACGATGACGATGCAATCGAATTGATTCGCCCGTCGTACGGCAAGGGTGCAGCTGTTCAGTAGGCTGCTGAAACAGGTGACACAAGAGTGTCAGTTCAATCAAACGCATGACGCGGTTGAAACGTTCTCTCATTTTAACTCATGCCAATTCCGCTGTGTTTCAGTGCAACCAGCAGAAAAACGGGTACCATCAGGTCGATAAGACAGACCTACAAATACGGTAGCGACAACATGGCATGCTTTAGTGTGGTCATATTGCCGAAACATGCGAGATCTAACGCTGTTCTGTCTGATGGTGGGCGTTGCGGATGATATTCGCCTGGACCCGCATGAACGGTAAATAAAAACAAGCGTAACGTGTGCACTTAAATTTAATATTTAAATTGAAATCTTCCGAGCAGATGATGACATCCACCG